CTAATTTATTGTATATAGTTTGAATTACTTAAATGTCAAAATTTTCAAATCTCATGTGATATCTTTTTTTAGTGCTACCGACTATGTTATAATGTAGTATCTATTCATAACTATCTCATGTGATATCTAAAAATAATATTATCTTGAATTTTTAGATGAAGATTGTAAAGTTTAGGGGAGAGAGAAAAATTAGTAGAGTTTAGATATGAGGAAAATATAGGATAATGAAATTTTTTTTATTGAATTTAGATAGGTTTATAAACTTTAAATGGGGAGAAAAAATAGAGTTTAAATATAGAGAGAAAACGTTTAAAGTTGTTAGAAAGAAAATTTTGAAATCTTGAGATTGATTGTTCGATTTCAACTATTTATATTTGAGAAGGAAAAGTCTACAATAGTCTTAAAATTAAAAAGTATACAAAAGTTCATAACTTTTTAAATACCACATGAGTTTTTAAGACTCTTTAAAAGTCTTAATCGAATACCACACAATTTTTAAAGACTCTTTAAAAATCTTGATTGAATATCATCTAACTTTTAAAGACACTCTAAAAGTTTGAATTAAAATACCTCCAAACTTTTAAAGTTCATAAAAGTCTTTAAAACTCTATGAAAGTTATGATTAAATACACCCCTTTTAATATATTACAACAAATCCATTCCGTGCATCGCACGGGCGCAAATACTAGTGGAGATAAATAAAATAAAATAAAATAAAAAAATCAATACCCAAGTGGTCTATGAAAGATACACATCAGTATATCGCACAATTTATAAATTGAAGATACTGGAGGATATTATTCTAATATTTAATTATAGGAGGAACACTAGGTGTTATCAGTAATTTCATTGTAAGGATAATATCAGTCCAGATGCGATCATGGAATTTCTGGTTTTACAATATAATAGTGCTCCAATAGCAATGAAGTAATGGACTTCTAGTCCTAAAAATATCCTCATTATCTTCTTTGAGTCTAAATGGTCCTTTATCTATTTCAAGAGATTTGGACAACTGTCAGTGTGATAAGTCAATGATACTTATCTATAAGAATGCATCAAAGATATTTTTCCAAAATAGACTAATTGGTGTATAAAATTCCTTTCAAGGAAATACTCGATGTGCAGGTCGAGATAATATTTGGTTTTCCAAGTCCTTTATTTCCAAAAATCGACTTTAGAACATGAGATAATATCATTAAGCTCTTTATGATGTTTATAACATCAACATATGTTGAGATAATAAATAGATAATTCCATTAGTAGCTCTTTAATAATTATCTAATGTTACATATTCATTTCTACATTTTCCTACTTCAGGAGGAAATTACTCAGTCAAATGTTTTACTATTTCAAGTTTAACTAAAACCTTTGTACTTCAACAACAAATATGTTGTGATTTTTACTTTCTTTCATTTTTAGAGTTACAAATCCATCAAGGATTTTTTCAAATAAACATTAGTGTCTAACGACCTATAATTTTAAGGTCATGACTTTAATAAGCTGCATATATCTAAAATTATCCTGTCAATTATGTAGCGGAACTTTTAATGATTTTCATAATGGGAGAATATATTTGATTAAAATCAATTTAGGGTTTCTGCGTGAACCCTTATGTTACAAACTCGCTTTATATTACACCACCTCATCATTCTTGTTTCTCTTTCATGCAAACAATATTTGTAACCTACAGGGTTAACATGTCAATATAAAAGGAATATATTTATCAGCGAGCTAAGCTATATATATGCCTTAATTGCTCCATTTATACGCTAATCAATCTAGGCACTTCTAGCACCTACCTCTAGATCCAAATTATAATATGAGCAATTTGAAGGAAATTATGTTGTCGACAACTTATAACATTTTTCAAGAATTTCTCCCATATATAAAAGTTCATAGTAATTTTCAAAGTTAACTAGATTATAGTCATTTCCCAAGAATATTTATATCTGGTTGTTCTGCATCCTAGTATTATGATTATTTGGTGCACCTATAATTTTACTAGGTTTTTCTTGTCCTCTGGACGATCGCCTTAAATGTATAACTTTTAAGATGTTTCAAGAGCTCTAAGATTTTTCAAGAGTGACAAAAATTCTTTACTAAATCTAGTTGTTGTGGATTTTTATTTTTCTATACCAATGAATCTCTTGCACTTCTAGCGTCAAGGAGTATCAATAGATATATATGGTCCAATTTGGAGAATGTGGATAGGACCTAGGGCTGTTAGCGAACCGAACATAAACGAACGGATGTTGTTTATGTTCATTTGTTAAGGATTTTGGAGTGTTCGTGTTCGTTTGTTAAGATTTTTGAAAATTTGTTTGCGTTCATTTGTTAAGCTTTCATTAGTGTTTGTTAACGTTCGCGAACACGTTCACGAACGTGTTCGTTAACATTAACGAACATGTTTACGAACATGTTTGTTAACAAGCACGTTCACAAACATGTTCATTTAAACACGTTCGTGAATGCTTAATAGCCAAACATATGAACATGTTCATGATCACAATTCGTTCGTGAACAAGAAATAATCTATGTTCACGAAAAAAACCAAACAAGTAACACAACTACAAAGAGAGTACAAACAAATATTAAACGAACACAAACGAGCTTGTTCGTAAACATTATTAAACGAACACTAAACGAGCTTGTTCGCGAATATTATTAAACGAATACAAATGAGCTTGTTCACGATTTCTTAACAAACGAGTTTACAACTGTTCAAACTATGTTCGTTTATAAACCGAGCTCTAAATTTTGTTTATTAATGTTCGTGTACCTTAATAAATGAACATAAACAAACGCTTACTGAACACGAGTAGTTTACCGAAAGCTTTGTTCGCTACACCCCTAATAGGACCTAGTCACTCTTTTATGAAATAGATTTATTAGGCAGATATGTTTGATTTATTTCTGAACTTTCAATTCAGATTAATTAGTACGTGAATTTAATTTTTGAAGATCAATTCATTTCATGAAACTTTCAGCATTCCATTTAAATTTGATCATATCTCCCCCTAATATATGTCGTGATTGATCTTCATGTAGTCAGCCTATCCATTGCGTTCTTCTCAAGAGCTCAAAATATTTGATACAATAGATGGAGGTTTAGTGATATATTATGGTGGTTATGTAATAGAACGGACTGCGTACATAAGAATAGAAACGCAAATTTGGGAAATGTTTGATTTAAAACCACGTATTAAGCGTAAGGGGAATAAGGATATGCAGTGTGCTGAATTTTTAGAATTAAAGTATCAGTATAAATACTGTATTTCCCCAACAAGCATCCGACAAATTGGATTTTTGAAAAAAATAATGGTCCTAGATAAAAATTTTCTCGGCATTCTATTAGATTTGAACACCAATCTCCCCCTAATGCCGAGAAATGATCTTATAAAAATGTAACACATATTGTTACAAAAAAATTGGTAGTAGGAACCATTATAAAAGGGTGATTTGTGAAAAGTCTTTTGTTCATACTTCAACTTCTCGAGCCTCTACCATTAGGTCTTGTTCCCCCTCTGTTGGTGACGTCTCGGCCACCATTTCATGCAACGTCTCAACCTCCTTCTGCTTTGATGATTCGACCACTTTACCCTTCGACTTCTTAGGTAAAGGTGCCTTAGGAGTTTTCGTTGCTTTCTTCTTGGGCTGAGCTAGTTCTTCCACAATAAGCTTTCTTCCCCAATAGTAATTAAAATGGAGAATTTGATGAAGCAAATTAAGCTTTCTTGATCCAAAAGATCTCACACTATCTAAAATGTTCAAAAAAATCCTCATATGAGAGCTAAAGAATTGCATAATTAATATAGATAAAATTTTCATGATTTTATGATTTCATGAAGCTTTTGCTGCATAAACCTGACTTTAATCCACATATAGATTGCCACGGAGCAACAAGACCAACATTATGTAGAACAAGAATACTTACTTCACTAGAATCGACGCCACTGTAAAACTCTTTCAAGCTTCAAATTGATTCTTTGATGCTGAAGTCACAAACTACATCTAATTGGTCAGCATTTGCTGTGACTTAATTAACCTTGTGGAGTATTGAAGCAAACGTATGAGACAAGGGAGTGGTAGCAATTGGTTGAGCCTCACAAGCCAATATCTTTGATTCCTAAGATATTTAATTGGCATGTATTGCTTGCCTCTTCAATTGATTCCATCACAATAAGTGGTGGCTCCGGCTTAATAACAACAATGTTTATGGCTTAATCCCCTATGTTCTGTCAAATGCACAAAAAGTTTAGTACAATTGCAACTTCATACAAACCAGATTTCAGGATTGATTCCTCCAGAGTTGGGAAAATTGTCAAGCCTTCAAGTGTTTTTTTTTTTCTTTAATTTGGCAAATCAGATTGAAGGTAGTGTCCATCATTGGCTCCCTTTAGCTTAGACCTCTCCCATATACAAGTGAAAAAGATACGCAGGTGCAAGTAATGCATACTCATTCTTCTTACGCTATTCATGTTTGCAACTCATATAACAAAGCCAGCACCTTTAAATTCAATATAATTACTAAAACAACAATCACCTAAAAAAATAATAATATTGTTGATCTATTTTTGATTCAAATATGTTCTTTTTGCAAACTAGCATCAATAACCTAATTGCACAAAAGACACTACTAACAAAAAGAAGCGGACAAACAATGAAGACAAAGACAAAGACAATGACAAACATATCCAAAAACGAATTAATAAAACTTAAAGTAATTTAAACTAAAAGTAATATATATTACCTAATAGCATACCATCTATAATAAGTATTTATATAATTGTTTTTAGAAAAGTGCAAACATTAATTTTAATGGTAACTAATAACTATAATAAACTTTTATGTATAAACGTATAATCTTGCATCGATATATTTTAAATTATATATTTATTTAAATGCAAATATTAGATATTAAATCAGTCGGGCATTAGTATAAAAATTTGTTTACAAATATGATCCAATCATGGGTCATCTAGATCCATTTGTTACCGAACCGGGTCTTGCTGTGTAAACAACCTGAGTTCCGAAGAAACAACGAGAAAGAGATCCCTCATCTAACAGAACACTCATTAGTTTCAAAAATTGCATTCGAACAACCGAACAAACATAATTCTTCATTCCTGCATCACTTTACGCTTATATATACTCATAGGGAGAGACGGTGATCGGAATTCTGAGGTAAAGGCAAATCAGCAATGGAGGCGTCGCAAGGCGGAGGAGGAGGAGGATCAGAGAGGGAGAAGTCCAACTCAACGACCTCTTCAGCTGCTCCGATCGCCGCTGTCGCTACTTTCTGGAAAGGTACTACTGCTTTCTTCGACTTCAGTTGTCAACTGCAATTGTGTAACTATCGTCTTTTGGCGGTAAATTGTGGTAAATTCACTTTGAAGCATTCCTGGATGAAAAAAAATAATTGCATTTTGAACTTCTAAATGTTTATAGAGCATACGCCCAATATATATACTTATATATAGAAATGATGTTTGCTTCTATGAATAGAATGTTGGAATGTTCAAGTTCACAGGGGCAGTTTGGCAATGTAGTACAATGGAAACTATTGGATAATCAGAGATTTATACTGCATTTGCATTCTGTAGATTCATTTGTTAGCAACCAAAAAACAGCATTGGGTAATAGTAAACTCTGTAGTAGATAACAGGTTCTAGTCCAAAAGCACCTGATTTTGTAGTTCTATATTTCATGTTGAACATTAGAGATAAATTTGTTCCAATTTCTGTTTGTTTTTAGACTTTGATTTAGAGAAAGAAAGGACTATACTGGATGAGCAAGGCCTAAGAATTGCTGAAAATCAGGAGAATAGTCAGAAAAACCGTCGAAAGCTTGCGGAGAGCACACGAGGTATTGTTGTAAACTATTCATTTTTATGCTAAGTAATACTCTGTATAATTTAACAACCTGCTTAGAATGCCTCGCTTTGATTCTCCAAATACATAGATGAGTATTCATTTTTAGCTAACCCTGATCGAATAATTTATAGTGTGTGCATTTTCTATTTTTTATTTTTTTTTAATTTGCCTCTTGACAGATTTCAAAAAAGCTTCAAATGAAGAGAAATTGAACTTATTCAACTCTTTACTTAGGGGTTACCAAGAAGAAGTTGATAATCTTACCAAAAGAGCAAAATTTGGGGAAAATGCTTTTCTTAACATATATCAAAAACTTTATGAGGCACCAGATCCTTATCCAGTTATTGCTTCAATTTCTGTAAGTGCAAATTTGGATATACCACGTATAATATATCTCATTTTTTTTCCCCTTTTCTTGATTACAGTGTATTGCATCTATGCAGGAAAAAGATTCGAAATTATCAGAATTGGAGTCTGAGAATCGTAAAATGAAGGTAGAGCTTGAAGAGTTTCGTATGGAGGCAACTCATCTAAAGAACCAACAAGCAACAATAAGGAGGCTTGAAGAGCGTTGCCGCCAATTAGAACAACAGGCCAGTAGTATTTTTCAAACATTTCAGTAATCCAAAGTGTCAATTACTTTTTTGCAGCAACATCTGGGGCCATCTTTATGGTGCATAAATTTTTAGTTCAAATAGATCTAGCATTTTTGCTTGTAAAATTGTTATTTTTGAGCAACTGCTAGATTTAATGTATTGAATTAATGTTTTGAGTAATATCTTGGCTATTAGTTGTAGATTATCATGAGAGTTAAAAATGTCTATTACATTTGCATTTCAAAAAAAATCTACTGCAGTAAAAACTTCATGAATGGAAAAAGTTGGTGCCTGAGGCATGCACTTCTTTTTACTATGCAGATGGAGGAAAAAGTGAAGGAAATCGTGGAGATTAAACAGCGCAGTTTGGCAGAAGAAAACCAGAAAACCTTGGAGGTTTTAAAAGGAAGGTATTTATCCTGTGGAAATATGGTATAGTCAAAAAGAATTCTTGCACTTCCAGGCTTCTGACATTTAGTAACCTCCGAAGAATAAGTAGCTTGAATCATATTTATCCTAGTGTACTATGCATATCATGATTTGTTGCCCTTTTGTTGGTGTAGGGAACAATTATTGCAGGATCAACTACGACAGGCTCAAGAAAGTGTTTCTAACATGCAAAAATTGCATGAACTTGCCCAGAGCCAGTTGTTTGAAGTTCGTGCTCAGTCAGGTCCTACACTGATCTTGATAACAAATCTTGCTTGATGCATAGAGTTGTCAAATATTGTCATCCTCATCTTGTAGAGGTTTCTAGAAGTTTGATAGAAAGTGTTTTACTAGCTATGCACATTATGGTTAACTTTATTTGTGTTCTCTTTTCCAATCTTATCTTATTATTATAGAGGAAGAGGGAGCAGCAAAACAATCAGAAGTCAATCTCTTAATGGATGAAGTTGAACGGGCTCAAGCTCGCCTTCTCAGTCTTGAGAGAGAAAAGGTGTGTTGTTCAAAATGCTTACTAATATAAGAGGATTGGAGTAGCCTTTAACTTCTCACTTCTTGTCTATCAGTTGCATGATCGTCACTTGTATTTAATGTTTGTTTTTAAATTGAGATGATTTTCTGTATTTTGCTGGGTTGAACCCTGCCTCCAAGCTCAAGAGACAGAAACTTTGCTTTAGTTTTGAATGAAAACATTTTCACTTGAGTAACATATGAAACATTTTTACTTGATAGAGTGGAAAATCACAGGTGAAAAAGTGGTTTCATTCTTCTTTGACATCAACCAACCCTTTCTGATGTGTATATTAGTTGGAAATTATTAGTGAATTTTGTGTGCATTTACTATTGTTAAAATCACTGAGTTGAAACTACGTTGTTTGCATATTAAATTTGAGAACTTGTTCTCTGTGTCTGTTTGTGGGTTGAATGTAAAGAGTTCATTTAAAATTCTTTCAGAAAGTCACTCTTTCTCCTCCTGCAGCTGTTTTGTGCATTCGAACATGATCAATGAGACAATGACTATTTAGTTAATACACTCTTGGTTGCTTTTATTTATTTATTTATTTATTTTTTATATGAATGTCTTTAATTCTTTAAACCTTTTGAGTTTCATTTAGGGATTGCTGCGTTCCCAGTTACAGTCAGCAAATGAAGATAATGGTGACGGGAAAAGGTGAGTTTCTTGGTATCCTTTGTTGCAGTTTGTTTACTTGGTAGTTAAAATGTCTGGTTCTATATAGGGTTTGTGAAATTCAATGATGTGCTGATGCCTTTTATAATTTTTATTCTATAGCTTAATTACACGCACACATGCACACATATTTATATTTACGGATTTTCAATTGGGCTTTTGTTTTTTGTTTTTTTTTTTTTTTTGTTATTTTGTTTTGTTTTTTGTTTTTTTGTTTTTTTGTTTTTTTTTTGTTTTTTTTTTTTTTTTTTTTGTGTTCTGAAGGAGTTTCTTTGTCATTGTTCTATTACTTTCAATGTTTAAAGGACATCTTCCCCTCCACACGTATTTGAGGTAGCCCATGAATGAAGAAACTAGAAGAAGGTTTGGGTAAAGAAGAGGAAGAAAGTGTTTATGAATTATGAGTTCAAACTCTAGGTTCATCTGAATGGATAAGTGGGGCAACCATGTCCAAAGGTGGTTCATAATTTAGCTGTATTGCCAGCAATATATCTTTAGCAATTGTTTCGGTTCAGAGAGAATTAATGCTAGAAGTTCACATTATATTCATATCTTGCTCTCTATGATGTAAAGAAAAGCATATTTTGAGGAATGAGTTGGAACAACTTCAGGTATTACAAAAGCTGATGGCAAGTGGAATGAATTATTTTCTTTAACATAGGAGTTCTGAAAAATGAAAATCTCTTGATCTGTGAAACCAAAAACTTGTGAGCTATTCATTTCCACATGGTATCTGCTCTATTTTATTATTAGTGTATACCAGATTAGGAAGACTTGTGAGCTTGAGCTTGGGCCTACTCATAACTTCAAAGTTTCCATTCTTTACCTGAATAGAGTGAACTAGGAAATTATATCACGTGTTCATTTCATAAAGTAGTTTAATGCATGCGATTATTCATGACTAGATGCACCACAGCATCTGTCACATTTTCTATATTTAGTTATTTCTCTTGCTCTTCTTTTGAGCTTTGCTGGATGGGTTTGCAGGACTGATCACTCTTAACTTCTCTGTGCTGTGGTTTCAGTGATAATTTGGATGGAAATAGCATCCTTGAGAACTCTCTTAGTGCCAAGGTGAAGTTAGTCTCTGAATTAAATGCGGAACTACATAATCTGGAGAACACCTTATCAAATGAGCGAGAACAACACATGAGTGAGATGAAGAAGCTAAATGCTCTTCTTCATGAAAAGGTACTCATTTTCTGTTAGTCCTGATCCACCGGTTACTATGCTGGAGTACGATTGTGCTCCTGCGTTGCAGGGTTGGAAATGTTAGGTTTAGTAGTCCATGCATGTGGACATGAATTTCTCCTAAATATGAACCTATGTTTTCCAAGTCACAAATGAAGTAACATCACCATTGCACCAAGGCTCATATGCGATATTTATAAATGCATCTATGTTGAGGCATATATACAAATAAACGCTAAACACATTTCGGTAAATACAAATAAATGTCATATAGATGTACATGATTGTGAAGAAAGAAAAGATAGATTAAGATTTATAGGCTTGTAAGTTTGAGTTTATAGCATTTCATGTGTCCATTTTCACCATGTCCCTTCAACAATCAATGTTGAGAGTTTTAGTAAAAAAGCACGGGGTCAATTTTGTAATTATTGCAAACTTTCAAGTTTGCAATATTTATAAAACTAACCCCTCCTCTTTAGTCTTTTCCCCTTATTTTTCAGCAACCCTCAACCGTTGATCTACCCAAATGGTTGGATCATATCAGTCCTCAACTGCTATGGGTGTTTATCCTGGCATGTCTAGTAAGTGGGTTCAATGTTGACAACTATTTCAGTTTGTTCTCTGTTTCTCTATAGGGAATGCTCCAATTTTGTGTTTGAATTGGTTTTTGTATTTGAGATATGCTTTCATTTTCATAATATATTTTGCTTGCTTATAACCTACAGGACGTCTCTCTAGAGGAAATGAAGAAGGAACTTCAAACAAGACCAACAGAAAAGTTAGTAGATGACTTGAGAAAGAAAGTTAAAATTTTACAGGTTAGACTTTTAGTTCAGTCATTTATCTGTTTTTAGATTCCCATGGTAATGAGAAGAATTTGTGAAAACAAATCATGAAGAATTTGTGAGGTCTTATCCACAGTTTTGTCTGGTTACTTCAATCTCTACCTGATCTCACTTCTCTAGCTCTTTCACTCATTTCTACTCTTTAATTTGTGTATTTGAATTGGATATTGCACAATTGCATCACTGGTATATGCCCTATTCTGATATCTGAAAGTTCTATATATAGGCAGTTGGCTACAACTCCATTGAGGCAGAAGATTGGGATGCTGCTACAACTGGAGAAGAGATGAGTAAGCTTGAGTCATTACTTCTTGACAAGAACCGGAAAGTGGAGCATGAGCTGACACAGTTAAAGGTATGTTACCTCCAACTTCCTTATCAGTAGTAGTTCCTTATCCCCCTTCCAACTGTTAGCTTGGTGTTGCCATACATGCAACAAGCAATATGACATACTTATTTAGGTTTTAACCGACTCATACCTCGTTGCATTTTGATGAACATACATCTTGTTGTAAAATTCTATAGCTAATACTCAGAAATTTGATTGTGAATGGTTTTTTAATTAATCTTTTACTACTTTCAGGTCAAACTTTCAGAAAAGACTTCTATGTTGGAATTAGCTGAAGCTAAAACTGATGCACTAACTGCAAAGGTCAGCGAACAGCAACGACTGATTCAGAAGCTAGAGGATGATATACTGAAGGTCTGTGCAGTTACTACGTAAATTTGAGCATTCTCTGAAAGTAGTTAAGTTGTGTTTTTGTCTTAAGAGGTTTGGTCATGCTGCAGAAATGAGCTCTTTTATATTTAAACTTGTCTGAGTTAGAATTGTATCCATTACTATATGAATAATTAGTGGATTTTAAAATGCTGATATTGATCTATTTGCTCTCTCCTTTTCACAATTAACCCTACTTTCCATTGCTGATGCAGGGGTACAGTTCTAGAGAGAAAAAGAGTACAATCTTTGAGGAGTGGGATCTATCAGAGTCTGGAGGAACTGAGCAATCTGGCGTAAATCTGCATCTTTTTCTTGCTTCCTCACATTTTTGTTCTTATTTGCAATATAAAAGAAAAAGAAAATAACTGTTTAAAATGTTTGAAATGAAGTGAAGTCTATGGTTTCATAAAAGATACATTGCTGCAATCAAATAATATGCATAATCAAAAGAAAATAATTTGCTATTGAGCTCAGGCATCTTATACTCAACTCTATTTGTGTGCCATGCCATCTCCAAATTAATATGTATTAAAGAAATGCTTCCACCTCAGTGTATGTTAAGTCTCTTGTTGTATCCCAAATCTTGTTATTGTTTGCAAATTGAGCTTTCTTTCCTCACATAGGATGCAGCCCAAAAACGTAGTCCTCCAGACCAAGATCAAAGCTCAATGCTTAAGGTGATTTGCAACCAACGTGATCGCTTCCGGGCACGATTACGGGAGACTGAAGAGGTTTAACCTATATCTATATCTATATCTAACTTAAAAGAGAATTCGTTGTTTATATTATATCACTCTTGTCTTTCCTCTTTCAATGAGATGCACAATTGAATTATTATTTTTCTTCAATTCTTGTTTCACTAGGAAATAAGGCAACTGAAGGAGAAGATTGGGATTTTGACGACAGAACTTGAAAAATCAAAAGCTGACAATGTCAAACTTTACGAAAAGATACGCTTTATCCAGGATTACAACTCCGAGAGAGTTATTTCAAGAGGATCAAAGAAGGTTGATTTGTATCAACTTTAACTGTTATTTCCATAGCTCACTTCCAACTTTCCAAGATCTCACTCAAATGTCACCTCATCATTTTCAGTATGCAGAAGATTTAGAAAGTGGTTTCAGCTCTGATGTGGAATCCAAGTACAAGAAGTTGTACGAGGATGACATAAATCCATTTGCTGCATTCTCAAAGAAGGTTTGTCTTCTTTTTATATCAATCTCTTCTTTCCTACAAAAAAAAGTTTTTCCCTTTCAATTTTTAGTATTGTTGTTCCCCTTCATAACCATTCACCTTATCTGTACACCCACCCCCCTTTCAACCTCTTTTGTCCAAGTCTTCAATGGGTCATGGATCAGCCACTTATGGAATCTTCTATTTCTCAAACAGGAAAGAGAACAGAGATACAAGGAGTTGGGTTTGAGAGAGAAAATTACTCTTAGTAGTGGGCGTTTCCTTCTTGGTAACAAGTAAGCTTCCATAGTATTCCATATTGTAACCTGTGTATAGATTATAGTAACCTATACAAGGATTTGCATTGTAGGACTAAGTTGCTCATTCACAGAATCACAGGGCATAGCACATATGTGGCTTTGGGTAAGGTAGCACGTGTAAATTAAGAACTAAAATTATTTTCTTTATGAGCTTAACCTAATAGCATTCTACAATGTGCTTATCTTGTTCCATCTTAACTAAAATTGAGCAAATCTGCTGTTAGTCAATAGCTAGAAACTAGAATACCTAGATGTAAGAAGTTGATAGCAATAGTTGCAGACAATATATGGCTCTAGTATCATGTGTGTGAATTTATTTTCCATGCACCCAATATACATCTACCTGCTTGCAAATAATCCTTCAGGAAGATCATCACCTAATATACATATACACCCAATTTACTGTTTTCTTGTTCCATAGAACATTTAGTGCATTTTTAATACTCTGTATTTAACAACCCTGAGGTTGTGGACTATCTTTTATTAGAGTAAAATTATCATGTCTAGCAACCTTCACAGATTTACTGTATTCATGTGGGTGAAATGAAGCAAAAGTTGATCTTGCAGATATGCTCGAAGCTTTGCGTTCTTCTACACCATAGGATTGCACATTCTAGTATTCACCTGCCTATACAGGATGTCAGCACTGAGCCACATCAGGTAACAATATTTTAAAGACAATTTCTGTCTGTGAATGATTTTTATTGGTTTCTTCAATTCATTCCAATTATCTTATCCATGAGGCAGTTGCTCATCACCTTGAATCTATGTTTTTTTTGTATCGGCAGCAATGTTCCTGAGGATAAGATGGTCAATCTTCCTCATCCATAGAAGTTCCTATGAACACATCAGTTTTCTTGTTCCTCTGACCCTCCAGGCCTCCAAATTGATGGAAATATGCAAGTACTTCACATAGTGCAAACATATGTTTTCAGGGAGTTGACTTCACTGTACAGACATATTTATGTTGTTTTAGTCACTTGTAGACAGTAATACCTAGCTGACTCATCTTGCTTTGGAATGGAAGGACATGCACAACATATTTTGAAAATGTTTTTATGTTTCTATGGGGTGGTATAGTACGATATAATCCGTGGTTGTACACAAAGGAATTTACTCATATATACTTGATTTGTCATTTTAAAATCACTTCATTAATTTAAAACTAAAAATAAATTAAATATACCAAATTTAGTTATCAACTACAGTAATATTGGGTGTTGCTTCAATTGTTGTCCTGAGTAGTTATAACACTTTATAAATAGTGGCGTAGGTTTTTGGTTTTTTTTTTTTTTTTTTTTTTTTTTTTTTAAACAATAGTGGGGTAGTTAATAATAATAATAATAATAATAATAATAATAATAATAATAATAATAAGAGCGAATATCAATTTTGGTCCCACGAGTATTAATAAAATTACAATTTAGGTCTACATGTTTAATTTTTACAAATTTTCATTTACGACTATTGTTTTAGTACTAATTTTCATTCAAGACTATTACTTTACTACCAAAATTCATTACGCCGGTCACCCCTCCATTTAACACATGTCAAAATCTAAAAGGGGTGACCGGAGAGATGAATTTTGGCACTAAAATAATAGTAGTGATGAAAATTGGAATTTGTACTAAAACAATAGTCGTGGATGAAAATTAATATGAATTAATCAATTAAACATGCATACCAAACATGTCATTTTGCTAATACTCATGGGACTAAAATTGATATTTTCTCTAATAACAATAATAATAAGAGAAAATTGTACTTTTCGTCCCTAAGTTATATGATAATTATAAAATTCGTCCCTAAATGTTGGTCATACTCATATTTTGTTCCTAAGATATCATTGACGTTGCACTTTTCGTCCCTTTAGTAATAAAACATTAGGGACAAAATTTGCAATTTTAGTATAATTCAGGGATGAAAAGTGAGCACGAAAGGAAGAAAAGTGCAACACAATAATAACTTAGGGATGAAAAGTGAGCATGACCAACACTCGGGAAGAAATTTTACAATTACCATATAATTTATGGACGAAAAATGTATTTTTTCCCACCACCATCACCGCCACCGTCACCGCCATAAATAATTTAAATACACACACACATAAAAGTCAAAGTGCTCACCGTTTCTTCTCGTTCCCCGAAAGTAATATAACTCGAGAACTCAACTATATTACTGTAATTCATTTTATCTTAGGAGGCTGATGCTACAATACTTCTAACACCCTCGAGAGGTAGCGAATTAGTTTTAAGGAGAATGTGCGGTACACGTTACTTGAATTTCCTTTTTCCATTCTTTCGTTGGGATTATTTACAATAAATTCGAATCCCTTCGATTATATATATATATATATATATATATATATATATATATATATATATATATATATATATATATATATATAGAGAGAGAGAGAGAGAGAGAGAGAGAGAGAGAGAAATAGGTTCATGTGCGGTGGACAGTTTCAGGTGCGATTGTGCGGTTAAAAGTTAAAACAGAGCAATTGATTCTACTTAAATCAACGTCCAAGATTACCAAAAAAAAAAAAAAAAAACGCAGTGTCAATTTTATAATTATTTACTTTTTATTATATAAAAATAATAAACTATTAAAATTATAATAATTGAAATTTTTAGATATTTTTGACCTGGTCCTCTAGCATCATACTATCACGAACTTTTGAAATAAGTCATGGTTCACGACAAAGTTTCATCACGGACAAAGATTCATACAAATTTGATATGTGCTCTGGCTTTACTTGAATCTTAAACAGAACGTGTTGGTCAACTATAACATTCATTTCAGGTGGGAATGAATTCATTTCGTCCTAAACAATAAAGGGTATTCAATTAGTACAAAATGAATCAAAAAAAAAAAAATAGTATATATATAATAACAATCTATAATAAAATAGAAAAGTAATAAAACTATAATATTAAAAATATTATTTAAACATGACTTAATGGTGATCTTGAATAACAATCTCCATAAATTTTTTGTCTCGAACATTGACTAATGTAGTGCGTGGTGATTGAATTGACACATAAAGCCAATCAAATCTATTTTAACAAATACATAATTGTAGGAGCCATTATATGTAGATTATTTTATATGGAGAATATGTATCTGAACCAGTGAGATACAATGAAATATATGAAATTGGTAGTGGTAATATGTTTCTTGAAATGCTTCATTTATATAGTGGTAACTGTAAATTAAAGTTAAGAAATTTATTGAATCAAATTATAAAAATATTATATTTGGTAAATTGGAAATAGAATTGTAAAATGATTTAGTAGAATTGAAGTTGATTTAGCCGAATTGAAGTTAGGAAATTTGATGAAATTAATTATATATTCTCACACACACACACACACACAAACACACACATATATATATATATATATATATATATATATATATATATATATATATAGATATACAAACGGTAATATTAAAAAAAAAATGAAAAGACAATCAATGAAAATTACAACCAAATTACATAGCTAAATTAAAGGCAGAATATAGGTACACTAACAACAAAATACATATTGTAGTGATTTCCCATCAAGTGAAATTAAACTTATTTACTTGCAGATTCAAATCAGACTCGTGTTATCTTATCCACGCTGCATAAATAAACCTAATATTTTATTTAAAACAAGCTAATTTTCTTCTTATTGAACTATAATTAGTTTTTTTTCTTTTTACATAATACATATTGCAATAGATTTTCATCCTGTGAGATCAAATTTATTTACGAGAGTCAAATCAAACTCCATCTCATTAACAGGTCACTTCATGAGTACGTAAACTCAATATTTTACTTTAAAACAAACTAATTTCCTTCTAATTGAACTATACTTAAAAATGCTAGTGTTGAACAAGTATCAAGTTTGGGAATGGATAGGGTAGGGGGTTGATAATGTTGACGTACACCTAAAAGAGAATACTCCACGTAATCTTTCACCTACATTTTTCATGCTAAGTTTGTATGAGTATACTCTTTCATCCACTATTTCCTGCTTAATCCGACAAATAAGCATAACTAACATAACAAAGTCTAAGAACAAGAAGATAATGGAATATAAGTGCAACTGAGATACTGCATTGATAGCAGGAAAAATATCACAGAAAAATTTTAAGAATGGGTTTTGTGTTTACCGTCAATTTGATCAAGATTTTCTGGAACTTCATATTTATCTGAAGTGATCTCCATCAACCACGAGCCTGGGAAAAGATCCTGCAAGAATCCAGTATGGAGAAAACCAGATTAGTTATTGGAATTGAGGTGAGAAATGGTGAAAATTACAATATTTTGATTAAGGCTTTTAATTACATCAATCTCCTTCTGAATAGCTCTGGGCCTTTTCTTGGGTTTTCTGGGTGGTTTGACACGGTAATGGCAGTGAAATCAGCTTCAATCTCCTGTTTGGAGAGAGCGATTGAAAACTTACTCTTCTGCGGCTGCGCTAAGTTCACTACTTTTCCAGTTTCGTCGCCAGCTCGGTGACTACGCAAAGTCCAAGGGCAGGCAGCAGCGGGGTTGGAGACCTCCTCCTCCTTAGAGGGTTTCTTATCGCCATTGTTGACCACGTCCGTCCGGCCTTTCCCTTTTCCCGGTGTGCTCGGCCGCTGCACGGAGATCAGTCATCATCTTCTCGATATCGTCGTCCTCAGCGATGGGGGCATTAATCGGAGAAATTTGCTGCGCCTGATTGCTACCGTCGTCCTCCTCGGGGTGATCACCGGAAGAATTGCCGAGCTTCATGCAACTGAGGTGTTTCAGATGAACCCATTTGAGGCATGAGGGCAATGTAAAGTTGTGAAGCGGCCGAGTTGTTGGATTAGGCTCCTCTCTTTCTCTCTCAATGTTCCTAGTCATTATTTATGTTATATCGTTCTCACACATTCCACATAATATTAATGAGAGATCGGAGTTGGGATTGGGGATGGTTGTTTCTATTAGGACTCTTGTACTGGTAGTTCATTAGGACTCTTTATCTATCTTGCTATATCATTGTTTGTACAGACTCAGTTACGATTGATATTCATTAATCAAATCCTCATCTGGTATCAGTATCCAGGACTATTCCATGGCAACCTTGGGAGATGATAATAACGGTTCTGTTCGTGATTCTTCCGAACGGACTGTGTCTGAGGTTGCTCCTACCCCTATTCACCCGACCCCTAGCCTTTCTTCGGCTCACCATTTTGTTTCGCTTAAACTTACCGTCCATAACTATCTTTTTTGGAGGACTCAAATGCTTCCATTCTTGGAAGGGCAGGGTCTGCTTGGTTTTGTTGACGGTACGGTGTCGTGTCCGACGGGAGCAGCGGCGGTGGAGTCCACGGCGGAGAGCAGTGGTGCTGCGGCATCGGGTGCCTCGGCTTCTGCTTCTGACCAGTGGCGTAGACAGGATAAAGCCATCTTGTCTCTTTTGATTTCATCGTTGTCTGATGAGATGATGCATATGGCGGTTGGCCGGTCGACTTCGCGTGCGTTGTGGCTTGCTATTGAACAGGAACTAGGGTCGGCAACACGGTCTCGTGCCCTCCGACTTTTTGGAGAATTGCAGGCGCTGTCGCAGGGGGAGTCTTCCGTCTCGGATTACCTCGGCCGTGCACGGATGCTTGTGGAAGATTTGGCGCTTGCCGGACGTCCGATCACGCTTGATGACCAAAACATCTATGTCTTTCACAGGTTGCGGCCGGAGCTTCGTCCTCTCGTCGCTCCGTTGACGCGTGGCTCTCCGGTGACGCTGTCCGAACTTTCGGACTATCTTACCTCTCAGGAATGGATTTGTGCGGCTGGTGGTGGTGGAACCGGTTCGCTGGCGGCTATGGCAGTGAGCCGAGGCCGTGGCAGTCGTGTACATGGTGGGCAGATTCGTGATAGCTCGGGCGATGGCGGCTCGGGCAGTGGTGGCTCGGGCAGTGGTGGCTCGGGCGGTGGAGGCTCGGGTCGTGGTGGCTCGGGTGGTGGCCGAGGCCGACGAGGTCATGGTCGTGGACGTAGCCGGTCTGATGTTCGTTGTCAGATTTGTGATAAACAGGGGCATTCTGCGTTAAATTGCTATCGCAGGTATTCTGAGTCGCCCGGTCCTCAGGTTCACATGAC